CCCCCCCCCTCTCTCTCTCCCTCTACAACATCACAATGATTTTGTCATTAAAAATTAGCTATGGGTTGGAACTTATAGGTCACGCAACTGTAAGGAAAATTAAGTGGTTCTAACTAATATTCAATAGGAAACGTAATATTGTGCTTATAGCTTTCAACCAATAATAGCAAAGCTACATGCGTTTTACGTTAGAAATTTCTGGAGGTTTGTCCAGCTCGTATGCAACGAGAAATTACCGCAAAAGACGGCTTATAAAGACTGTAAACACAACTCAAAAAGGAGAAAAAAGGTTGGTTAGTTTAACATTTTTAGTTTCAATTATTTCCGGTAACCAATAGTCCAAACGACTTTACACTAAAAATTTATATTTTATGCGTATTGTCTCACTTAACTTTGCCTTAATGCCAAAACGTAGAAAAGCAGTTGGACAGTTGGACATGAGTCTAAAAATTAAAAAAAGGAGGTTTCGTGTCCTGACATTTGCTTCCAGTCTGACTATGAACACAAGAATATTCCTTCGACCAAATCACTACTTACAACCTATAGCCTGAACGGAATTCAAAAAGCGGTAACAAATAAGAAAACGGTTGTGTTGAATCAAAACAAATTTTAGAGCAAACCACGATAACTTTGAAGTCTTCAAACCGTGCAAGGAATCGTCACCTCAATCGTACACCGACTGAGTGCGTCTAGTTGTATAAGTTGTACGTGATATGTTCCGAATGCGGCCACAAACCAAACACTGTTCAATATCCGACATCGGCAAGGCATTCTTGTTGCCGCCTCATTATCATAAGGTAAGTAAAAATCTTGTCTATGTACACACTACAGAGTAATTTGACAGCACAAGGCGCCGGCCGCATCATCTTGCTACGTGAGTAGCTACAACTAACGTCAGAATGGCAAGCAACGCATTATTTACTGCATTGTCAGAAATCCAAAAAATATTTTGACTAAATGACAGCTGCTGACGATTTTGTGGGGCGACAAACGGCCTAATGGCCGAGTGAAGAGCAGCACTTGATACACACGCTTTTTCAATAATGTAAACAACAATCAAATTCAAACATAAATAAATACTACACATTAATCCCAACTTCATGTGTTTATCAGTGACGGAAACCGCAACTACAACTGAGATAAGGTGAATTTCGCAAAGAACAAAAAACACCGGTGGATAAAGTGCTTTTAACGGACCTATGCCAATCTAAAATTGATTAAGCTGAGAAAACACCCCATTTCTTCTACCCTTGTTACCCGACATTTCCGACATAATCAAAATATAACATTTTGTTCCTAATTGACATGAACCGAAGTTCCATTTGCTCTAAGACATGATAGCTCATCCATAATCGTTTAATTTTAATGAATCTAGACTACGGAAGAACTTTGAGCATCAGGAAACCGAAAACGTGCTTTAAAAAGATATCTGCTGTGCCAAAGGAAAACTGCTACATGATTTGTCGTCATCTCAACAGATGAGTTTGATATTTCTAGTATTAAAGGACCTCCAATTATTTTGTCTCCCGTTAAAGTATGGACAGAGGGAAAATACGTTATAATCACATTAAGTTCAGAGTGGGGTTTGATCCCTTTGTTTTCTTTGGCTGGAGGTCAACCTAATAAGAACAATAATGAAACGAAATTCATTTTACCAAATGGTCTTGAGTCTTGCTGAGCTTTTATCAATGGCCCGCCAATAAATACAAACTTAATGGCTTTGAGCGTTAAGTTGAAGTTGCTCTAGTGTTCTAAGCTATAAAATAAGAACGAGTAAGCGATAATTAATGAACACATGCAAAATCCATTGCGTTGAAGTGCGTTGTTCTGCTGTTAAGAGGAAACTGAAGGCAACACATGATAAATAGCTTGTCGAGGGAGGTACCTCTCCAGATTTGGAGAGATTTAAAAGAAGCCACTCAATCACGCTAACATTATAAACTAAAAGAGAAATTCCAAATTCCAGCGATGCAAGCCGAGGAAGACATTAGAGTTGCTTTCTGTAGGCCAATGGTGAAAGAGAAACAAGATGTAAGGTACCACTGTTGTAATATCCGCGTACGAAATTGAACTTTAAAACCACTTGCAAAATCGTTTACATGACTTTTTCCACTCGGATCGTCTAATGTGTTTAACAGCTAATTTTGCGTGTGGGGAAAATTGGGGGGGAAACCAGCAAAAAACTTGTGAAATGTCTGGAATTGAAGATCGCCTACTGACAAACCAACTTTAATTTGAAAAGCCGCAAATAACTCTATTCTTACCCATAAAATCCAAACCCTGTTGCAACAAAACTTTCTAAAGAATTTTACCACGCCAACAAATTATGTGGAAACTTGATAGGTTATTGGCTGATCGTGTCTAGCTTGAAAATATCATGAAAAAACAAGTATAAGTAAATCGTGGTAAGTCCAAATCATATATTAAGCCGAAAATACAGCGCCTAATACGAATTTTCGAGTTCTGAAATGAAAAAAAAATTCCGAGTTCCGTTTAGTGGGCTGCCATCGAACGTCTGTTAAACTGTTTATCTTGTGCGTACGCAAAATTAATGGCCCATTGGACTCACTTAGTCAATAAATGACTCAATAAAAATGACAATCAAATAATCTTCCACATGCTCATGAAATTAAGAAGATGACCGATAAAATTACCAGCAATATCTCTCCCAAAATAAATGCTATTTACAAGTAAACTGTTTTGCTCTGTTGATCGATGAGGATTGAACCTTGTGTCCTTTTCGTATCAAATTTTACGTCAGACTGTTTTTATTTGGAACTGAACACCATCATATGTTAACGTTACATCGATCTCGAACAAAGTGATCTCACTTTTCCCACGAGATTTTCATGCAAGCCGCCCAGGTTCCTTCTTTCAAACAATCGAATAGTAATTTTTAATTATGCAATTCTAATTCGTCTTTGAAAAAAGAGAATGTGTTATGAAAGGAAGCCATTTTAAGCAATTAAGAGCAATTGAATACTGGTCATGAAGACTATTGGAGCTGTTAGTACATTCGTGATTCTAATACTTGAAGAAATAGATATTCTACCTTTGATTTTTTTCCCTATCGTTATATGCATGAAATTTCGTGAAAACTGACCATTTCGATGAACGTTTGCAGTCTTGGCCAGTTCCGTTTCGAACTTGTGTGAGTTGAAAAGTACTCCAAAAAAATTCCTAAACCTAAAACCTGCTCGAACACAACATTCTAAATCGCTTAGGTGACATTTAAACCCAACCATCTTATGTTTCCAGATTTTCTCGCAAACTTTCGGATTAACATTCTTTACAAGATAACACTTTACTTTATTTTCTTCAAACTATTCGATGGTGCCTATAGCCTTTAATCTAAAGTGTCGATCGAAGATTGTCAACTTCATCAGAAGGCTGATAACTGCACTAACATATTTAAACCTTGGTAAGAAGTGTGCTAATCACTCACCAGTCTACCAACATGATTGTTATGAAGGTTCATTGCATGTCTTGCCTTCTTCCGTAAACGTGCCTTCTTATCAGAGCTCGTGACACCTCGCTCGTTCCGTTCAGGTGCATCTACAAACGTCTCTGACAACCAGACACCAAACTTCACGTCATCATTACAGCCTCCCCACTCCCATCCTCTGGAGGGCTGCTTTCTTTTCCTGCGAGTTTCACAAGCACATTCACTGAGGTTGCCAAGACTGCATGACCTGCTGGCCGCGTGTACCACACCAGCAGAAGTTATCGCGTAAATGAACGCAGCCTCACGACTTCCTGTCACGGAAAAGAGGGAAACTTGTAGCAACGTCACTGACGCACAGTGAGAAAAGTTACACTGAAGATATTTGTACTCACCTATGTTAATAATTCCACCGAATACTGACGAGGAATTTGTGGTGGAGCAATTCCATCGTTCTTTGGCAAACTGGTTTTGACACTCACCAATTCCAAGCTTTGCTCCACGTCTGAGGGTTGGAATGAGGTCCGGTTTGGACTGACAGACAGTCATCTGCTGAGAGGACAAGCCAGGAACTCCATAACAAGTCGTCAGATTTCCACTGCTTCGGGTGCCCAGCGCCGAAATTCCCATCCACCTTCAAAATAAGGCAAGAAACTTTTCATCAACTACACCGCCATCGCTCATGTATTTGTCCATCAAATTGGAAAAGCTTCTGTTTTTGATTTTAATGAATGGAAATGCATGAGATAAAAACGCACTAACATCCAACTGGCAGTGGTCCTGTCTTGGAAGAGGACCAACATTAACAAGACAAAAACGATGGATTCGTTCCTCTCCATACTTATACGAGTTTCTCTTATGAGGCCCACTGTTCTGTATACTAAACAAAAAAAAAATGATGAAAACGTAAATACAATTTCACACGTGATGCAGCTAGTGGTCGGTTGGTCCTTTGCTTTTATATTATTGAAGTTCACGGCTAGCCAATTTCATTTCACCTGTCATCGCTAATGAACAACAACAGTCCTGATTGGTCGCCCAAAATGACATCAATCGGTTAATGGTGACGTATGGAAAAGTGGAAGGACATGTGTCGTTGACTGGTCATACTGCCTTCCAAATGGAAACAATTTAACAGTACAGTTTGATTTTCAAAAATTCCCGTCATTTTTTCGCCCTGCCATGTCCCAAGAAAGAATTGACACATCAACGACCGGGCATTTTGGCTGAAAAATGTAACCCGGTTAATACCTCTAATAGCTAAATTTCCGCTTAAAGTGTTTATCGCTTGACAATGATTGTTTGTTGATCGCAGAGGGTGGGCGGAGGTAAAGTAGCTAATTACAACTCAATTGATCAAACGAGGTGACCTCAACAGAGCCTCAAGACACTTCAACTCGTATCTTCCCAAAATCAGCGACAGGGATGAAATGAGCGGTACAATATCCACCCACTCTTAAGGTTTCATCTAGTATCAAAATGGATCTTAACGAGTTGTTCGACTTTTTGCGGCACGGAGAGCGCGAAACAAAAATCACGTCAGACAGAGCAGATTCCAATCGTTTTTCACACGCAGTTCTCAAACGTTGTGAGTTATTTTTCCCTTTCACGAAGCAAGCTTATAGAAGTGCCGATTGATTACAATAAGACGGCGTTTCTTTTTCACAATTAAATGTAAAGTACACAGACGGCAAGTTAACCTTTTTACATAAGCTCCCGCCATAGTGTTTGTTCGCTCTGCATCTTGACTTTGTTTTAGGCGCGTTTAATTATTCAAAGAGTGGCCGGAAGAATGAGGTCGCCTTTTCCGGTATCGATAGCTAAAACGGAACATGGGATACATAACACTGGCACAAATTTTGTTCCAACGGAGTGTTTATAGAGTGTGTAATCGGTTTAACGCGAGGCCAGCTTAAAATAATCTATCTTGAAATAAATTTGTCTGAGTCAATGAGGCTGTTAAACCGCTGATATAAAAATAATCTCATTGCGCAGTTTTCGTGCGTGCCTACTGTTCCACGAGTATTTGTATCAAACGGATTATTTTACTCTAGCGTCTGTAATCATCACACTTAGGTTTAAACCAAGATAAAGAGATAATTGAATAAAAGGGTTTCCTTTCAACAAGGCACTACAAAAGAGGGCACAAAATAAGATCGCTAAAGAGATAACGACAATTAGAACCATCACAATAACATGCGTCAAAAATTAATTTCCGTATGGGAAGTCTAGCTGAACGACAATGGATGTTTCAAGAATTGCGCTTCAGCGAAATGTTTGATTCGCAAAAGGTTGAAGTCCACCGATAAATGAATTGGTAAAAGCACCGTGGGAAAAAAGGCAGGAGTGTTGATTAACCTCACAGGAAGGGTCGAATTTTCCGCTTTTTAGACTGTCTCGGATGTAGTTTATCATACTCCACAATGACTACTTCATCAACTTCTTTCGAAAAAACGAAGAGGAGGTTTGTTTTCCTGTTTTGTAAAGGTGTTAGCATCCTCCTCACGATTTCCAGCAAAAAACTCTTGACCCTTGGTATTCAAACTCGAGAACTGAGTTAATTGTCGCCTCACGCCCACTCTACTACCGCACGCCATGTTCTCTATCCATGCTGTTGTCGCTCAGTTACCACACTAGACTGGATTAGAGGCAAAACCCGACATGCTCAGATGGCCAAATAATAGCAAATAAAACAAGAATACTTAAGTTATCAACTTAAACCAGTATCAATTTAGTGATAGGTCAGTTCGTTGTTCTCGGCTTATAAATTCATGGTCACATCAACTCAACAAGGTTAACATGGCCACGCCTGGAGAAGGTATTGACTCATTGAATTGATTTTTACTTTCAAAAGAATAGTGCGCTTCGAAACCTACTAGTAGCAACATAAAATATGACTATTTAGTACAGGTTAACCTCTTGACAATTATTGTGTATACTGAAGTCAAGCTGCGAAAAACAGACCGCATAATGCCATTGTTGATCAAGACCCTGCTCTACAAACTAAGTTCCAACTTTGTCGATTTTTTCTTTGTAGACTTAGTGAGCTTTTACCACTCAGAGTCTGGTTAACAACCAACTCGAAACCCAGAGCAAAGAAAAAACTAACAAAGCCGAATTTGGTTGCAAAGAGAATGAAAAACCTGCAATTCTTAAACATGGTTCAATGGAAGAAAAATTGTATGAGGAGGAAATAGAAAAGATAGCAATCCTGAGCCATCTCTCTTGTTCTCTTTGGCGCTTCCGACATTCCTGATACTAGCAGTATCCAAGGATCATGTAACACACGAACTTTGTAATCATGACGATGGGCCGGCTAACTTAAGTGTTCTCTGTGGATCAGTGGCAAGAATATTGGGGTGCAAAATCTGAAGAGACGCGGTTCGATTGAGGTGATTCCGCGCCTTGCACTCCTGTCCAAAATAAATTAGACCTTTCCTTACGCACTCAAGATTTTACACTAGTCCCAATCATTTTTCAGTAAGTTAAAAAAGACAAAAGCTCGGTCGGTGGTAAAAGAGGAAGAACTTCTTCATACAAAGAGACAGCTGAAGGAAAGGCAAGCCCATTTAGGGAATGTGAAAGCGAGTCACGCACACCACAAAACATTACCCTGAAGAGATACACACTTAAAATGTGGTTTACTTGTTGTACATTCTCGGCTGAAAGCCAAAAATCACATAACCTACGCGGTGAAATACTCTTCCGACCGTCTTAGTTCTATTTTAGTTCTGAGACTATTTTTAAATAATTAATTCTTCAACTTATTTCACGCCTAATGTATCATTCAATCACGCAGAGCATTTCCACTTTACCACACCGGCAACAAAAAGCACTCAGCCTTGAAAGTTAAGCCTCTGATAGAGAATTGTTGGTGAACTAAATTTCTATTTCATGTAACAAAACCGACAACGCGAAGCCAGGATATCGCGAGTAACGCATGCGCGGATCCCTCGCATAGCTGAAGGAGTTTAAACTGGTACCTCATGATCCCGCAGCGCTCATTTTTGTCAAATTTTTATCAATACACTCGTTTATATCAATTGAGTAAAAAAATTCGTTCTGTAACGAGGATAAAAAAGGGAAGCTATCAAACAGTCACAGACTACCACAAGTAATCAGAATCGAACAGCTTCAAGGTTATTATTTTTAGCAAAAATCTTACGCGCATTACAAGGCAGCGATAATTAAAAAATACCTAACCTTAGATCCGTAGAACTCTAAGAAGTTATGGTAATGATCGCACACTTCAGCGGTAAAATTAATCGCTAAATTAGCCACTAAATTGCGTGTTAATTAAATAACAGGATTTTTTAAAGGAGGGAGGACGCAGTAGGGAGGTGCAAAAACAAGCTCAACAAACAAACACACGAGAAAACATTGACACTGATTTCCAGACACATTTCACACTTAATATCGTTTATTGCCGTTTATTACCGTTTACAATAAATGCACGTATTTGTTATCTTTGGATTAAGGAAGAGATCAACAGAACCAACATCGCACAATGGACCGGCCAATGAGTTCCAGAAATCAGCTGTTTTCGTTTTTGCTACTGGCAAAAAAAATTGCCTGCGGGAAACTTTAAAAAGCTTTTGCAAGTATCATTTGCATTTGGAATATACACACGGTTATATTACAATAATAACAATAATAATATCATCATCACAATAGTAAAAAATAATAATCTAACAAATATTAGTGTTCACTGAAATTCGTCTTGTGAGTCGAATCGTATGAGTAATACGGCCATTGTTCTTCCGTAAAACGCTGTTCGTTCGTGATAAAGACGTGCTTTGCAATTACATTTGCATCTTTTCCAAAGCGGCTGTGGAATATCGTTTATTAAGCTCGCAAACTTAAAAATGGACCAGGATAAACGTCCATTTTCACAAGTTTTTATCGAAACTTCCAGCCTTCACCCACGCATCAAGCCCAGAATTGATTGCATGTCCACTCCTCCTCAGAAAAGCAATTGGCACTATCAAATGCCGTTATCTTCTGAAATTAGTTCCACATACCTGTACTTCCCCGGCAATATCAAACACTGTTACTGTCACAATTTAGCCGCCGACGCTGGAATTGATTGAGAGAGTTGCACAACTTCCTTGATCTCCTCTGGAGTTAATATCCCTTCGTGTTCCAAGCCGATTAACAGCTGTTGTCGGGAGTTTCCTACAAAGTCGTGTCTTAGAAATGACGGAAGCCCTCCTCGTTTGTCTCTTAAGATGTACACTGGACAGCGAACCAGCCCGAGGACCTACCAACAGACAAATAAGTAAGGTTTGAATTCACAGTTCAATAATAACAAACATCGCACTCAATCGGAAGATCTGCATATATATTCTCACCGAGTAATTTGAAACTCAAACACGACAAGTTCGAGAAAATGCTTTGTAAGAGAGAAACATGTCTCGATGTCTTTTTTTTGTCACGATCCGAACATAAGTAAAGCGAACTTGAAATGCCGCGCGTACGAGCTAGTTGCACCAGTTTTTCATGGTGTGAATATTTTTCAGGAATAATATCCTCCCGGGAGAGGTGAACTTCAAAACTATTTCTTGTTTAAAAGCACAACAGAAGAAACCTTCGCCGATTAAGAAAATAATTAACTTGACAGAGAAATGCGCTTTCTTTAAAAATCACCATAAAATTTTTCAGATCATGACTTTGGTTGTATAGGTACAGACAAGTTACAGCGGAATGTGCACATTTCCTCACGTCTCTCTTATCTGACCCTGTCAATGCACCGGAAAACATTTTAGATTTATGATCTCCTGGTAAGAAATGCTTAGCAAGAATTCATTCTTTTTCCTTCAATGGGACACGACCCCAATAGTTAAGGATTGACTCTCAATCTCTTTATCCAGAGTCAAACGTGACAGCCATTAAACAATGCTGTGTCTCTCACTTAAGTATTCCGTTGAAAGGGAAACAGTGAAATTTCTGCCGTCTACGAAACTACAGTAAAAACGATAAGAGACTTTTTCTTGCTGGAATGATTTACTAAAATCTTGGGATAAATTTCTTGTGACTACTTCCACTGAGTTTACCTTTTTGCCTCTAAAAAAAGATTAAAATTAACCTCTCCTAAATTACAACATCGTACAATATCTTCTGAATGTGAATAAAACACACAAATCTGTCCACCAAAGGGCGTTATCTTGATATAACAAAAGAGAGGCAAGAAGAATTACTATATTGGATCTTGAGAGCTGACAGGTTAATGAATCCTTTGATTGAAGCACATAAAAGATGGACATTGTAACTGAGATATCTAACGTGAAAAACATAAATCTTTTGCAATGGACTGCTGAGTCTAGTTGTATTAAGGGCGAATAACGCTATCTAGCGGATAAATCGCTATTCAACAGAAAGTGTTCACAAAACGTAGTGCGTTATCCACCGGATAGAGATTCATCCAATGGATATCATCATCCACGCTTCAAACAACCCAGGCCTGGAGTTAAATAATAATAATACAATAAGTTTTCAAAAAAATAATACTACTTCTAAACTTGAAAAATGTTTCAGCATTAATTGTTGTGTGTATAGGGTGGAGTTCAAAAGAAAGACTGACAAACCTCATAACCTAAATACGGTGCCCCTTGTTTCCTTGTCTCAAGTTCTAAGAATTGTTCTAATGGAACATTTTTGGCAAAGAAGTGAAGACAAAGTTTCTTTGTGATGTCCAGTTCTGACACATACTCCTCATACAAATGAGAGATCACATAGTTTTCTTTAGTAATGTTGACAGGATTTGTTGTTTCTCCAAGCTCTTCTACAACCTCTCTATTAATGGCAGTCTCTAGATCTTCAAAATCGTCCACAAATCCTCCAGGAAATCCCATTCGGCCATCAAAACGAAGCTGCATCTGAGGAAATGCAAAAATAACCTGACTGTTGAGTTCTGACAAATCTGATGAGCCATAAACCCACCAATTTTTAAGTTGAAATAGAGGACTTCAAGTAGTTAAGCTCTCACACCAGAATTGTATTTCTATTTTGCAACTGCTCATTAGTACTTTGTTCACGGGAGCAGGAGTCACAAAGCACCCTGCCCTGTTGAAGATACCAGTTGCAAGCACATTTCTATTCTGGTGATGTCATTAATCATTTTATTTATTTTTATTAATCTATTTTTCCTTACTACTTACCTTACTAGTGAATTTTTTTTCTAGAGCTGATTGGCTCGCAAAGAGGTTATCAGCCATGCACTATTCACTTTGGAGAAGGTAAAGAGCAAACAGTAGCTAAAAATTTGACTAATGGTAGATTGTTTCAATAAATGAGGCAGCTCTTCCAAAAAATTCATAAATGTCTAATTGACAGAAAAATCTTATTGTGGTGGCATCAGTATTCCACTACAAAAAAATCAAACTTCCCATAATACTCTAATCTTTGCAAAAATAGTTAGACAAAACCTCAGGTTTTGCATCATTGGCAAGAAATTACACTAACTAACAAACTACACTAGGAAAGATTGTAAGGATCATCCAAAATTCACAATAGGAACTTTTGCTGTCAATTGTTTTTGTTGTAAGAAATCTACCCCAGCCTCAAGTGAGCTTAACATGGTAAGATTTCACCCATTTAGTTTCTGATTATATGTTGATATCTTCAAAAATAAATGATTTTAAGGTCTGCTAGTTCATGAGCTTATGTAACACATCTTAAAAAGCATTCGTAAGAGTGTTGGATATTCTCCCTCCTACGAAATATCCATTGCCATTATTCAAAAATTCCAAAATTAACATCTCCACAATTACATGTAAATGTAAACTCCCAAAGCAAGAATCTGCATCATTTTTCCCTCACCAGTCCAGCCATAATTCTGCCACTGGCACTTATACGTTATGTTACTTCAGTGTAATAATGTGAATAATGCAATAGATAAAGGCAGAAATTTGCTGAAAGAGCTCAACTTAAAATAAACCACATGTTTACCCAAACCAGAACTGAAATAGCTGAACCAAGCTACAAGACCTTATCAAAAGGATTCAAAATATCCTTCCCAAGGAAAATTAGTTTGGAATGAATTTGTCAATGGCAAATGTGTCATTATATGGGTTGACATAATATCCAAAAACTATTCTTAGTCTAATAATCCTTCAAATAATGTCCCTCAGGAAGTTAAAAATGTCAGCTATTTATTTACAATGAATTAATCACTGTTTCTTTCATTCATTGAATATCTGAATTCTCCAAAACAATTTTTCTGTTGTAAAAAGTTGAGCAAAGTTTTGAGTTCTTTCATGAGTCAAACCCTTTTGGAAAAAAAGTGTACCCTGTGTCTTGAGTGCAGCTCTTGGTGGGTATTCAAGACCACCAACACAGTTTTTCTACTATGAACCTACCAGTTAGTAAGTAACATAACAGATACTGACGAGATGCTTTCTCTCTGAGTTTTCAGAAAGTTTGAGAACACTACACAGACGTGGGGCTAGAAAACTAGGCAGATTTTGTAATCAACACGATGACCCTGCTGCAGATATAGAGAATAATACATGGGTGTGCATAGATATGGAATTCCTCATCAAATGTTTAACCCAATAGCTCACGCATGAAATGTCGAGTTGAACATGAGAAGAGAAATTTCATATCTATAAGCATCTACATGTATTATTTTGTTTATCATATAAACACAATAGCCTTTTACTGAAGAGAAAAGTCAACCTTATTAATGAATCAAAACAAAAGGATCAACACTCCAAATAAAATTGTAAAGTGCATTGGTACACTCACAGTGTAAACTTGCATTAAATCACTACAAAAACAAACAATGGGCCTAATTTTCAATCAACAAAATTCTGAGTTATTCAATAGGTTCTTACTGACTGAATAAATCCTTCAAGTACATGACAAAAAATCGGCCTGTGGCAAATCTTTTTGTTGATGACTTTCATTCTCAGCTACAAGAAATGCCTTCACCAATTTAGCCACTAAATACATAACTTTCTGTTTTACTTTTTGTGTTTTGATTTTCTTCCCCTTCTGGAAAGTTTGAACATCGCTGTCTGAAAGCAATAGACAAATTTGAGTGTTTAGCAGCCATAATCCGAAAAAATGCTGACAAACAACAATAGATTGAGAATGGTAAAGGCTTTGCCATTCATTCATCAACATGACCAAAAGGCGCCAAAGGCAAGTAATGTGACGGCAGCTGATTAGTGATACCAAACACATATAACAAGATACAATATTTTATCACGTGTGTTGTTACGGCTTTTCTCAGGACTGGAAATCCTTGTAGAACACCGTAGTTTATATCACAAATTGGATTATTATGTCAACTTCACACGCTATTGTATGTTGACTGTATGCTCTCCACCAATCAGAGTACTCAGAGTGATTCTAATGTATATAATGTATATCGATTGAATGTTGTCGACCAATCAGATTTTTCAGAGTAAATCTAACGTATAATAATGGACGTAACTGGCGTATCCTTTTATCAGTCGATGAACAGTGTTCTTTCAAACCTAAGTCCACAATATCAGTCAAGTGTTCATGCATAAGCCTGATTTGCTCTGAAAAACATTAGTTAGCGATAAAGAGATCTTTCCATTACTACTTGGCAGGTGAAATCATATTTTCATTAACTTCTGTACTAAATGAAGACTAAAGGGCACAAGGATGACTAACTGGTACTTACCAGGACAGCCTGTTTCAGTGGATAAAAGCCAAAAAGCTTTTCTTCCACAGGCGAATGTAACATTACATGACAACAGTGCTTGTAACCTTGAAGAGCCAAGGAATTGGCGCGTGAAATAACACTCATACCGCATGGAGCCATTATACAATTACTAACTAGCGACGGAAGCCATCTTGAATTTTTCGTTAGCGAAAAGACTGGGGGTGAATTTTTCAGCCCATTTCCCCGGCGGGGCGTCTGGGTTCTCCTTGGTGCAGCAGGTGCTTGGCTAAAGGACACATGTAAGTAGAGACTAGATTGCTTCAGCGGTCACCCTATCCAGTGACCCTTCAAGGAAGGTAATCCTTCCCAGTCTCATCATTTCATCTTTCTTTCTTGGGATTAACAGAATTTTTTAAACGACAGTGAATATATGAAAGTCATATAATTGAACTGCGGATATGAAAGTGATCTTCGTGGTAATGAACACTACTTGAGCAGTAGTGAAAATAAGGCCTGAAAAAAAAAAACAGTTGGCTTGTTAGCTCAGTTGGTATCGCATAGTTCATGGGTACAAATCCCGTACAGGCCTGAAGTTTTTTTTCAGGCCTTATTTTCACTATTGCTCAAGTAGTGTTCATGACAGAGTATTTTTCGGTGGTTTTGATAGTCTACTTGGCTTACAGGGTGAAGTGATTAGCCACAAGCCAAACCGCTCACCTGAATGACCAGGGTTTTTCTATCAGGCATTTCTTTCCAGTAGCCATGGGCTCTATTCATTTCAAGGCAAAGGAAGCCCATCTTTCGCGACTTTCGTTCTAAGACTATCAGGGGCTAAAGTAGTGTGGCCGTGCAACATTGCTAGAGCCTATGTTAAGGGGACACTGGTTTCTCCACACTTATAAAGTCAATGATAGTGACACTTAAACCAAATAAAAGTGCTTGGTGGCCAAATCAGCCATCAAATGTAGCTGTGATTTGTAATGTAATCATATTCTCACTGAAATCTTTAACAGAGGACGGAAGACTTCCGGTACCGAGCCGCAGGAACACCCGATTTTCTCTCGGGGCAATGACTCTCTTCATCGTGATAATTTCTAACGTCCCACCTCTCAGCTTCTCATCTCACCCACACTCTTCAATGTTGTTGTGAGTTGTTTATTCAACACAGAAAATTACACAGTACTCAAGGTTTTTTAGTTTTTTGTTTTGTTTTGTTTTTTTCATTTAAAAAAATAATAACTCCATGTTAGCGTGTAGAGTTGTATGTTGCTCGCACCGATCAAATCGCCGTATTAGGGTATGTATCTCGCACCAATCAGATTGCCGTATTAGAGTATGTATCTCGCACCAATCATATCACAGCATTCGGATATCATGCATCAATTACAGCGTTTGGGTATTGTTTTCTTGTAAATGATGTCATGGAATTAGGGGGCTGTGCACAAAAATGACAGTAACCAGCACACGCCAAACAACTTACATTCCATCACCTACTACAAAAACAATGTCCAAAGTCCAATCAGAACATACTCAGTCATTGCACTACATGAACATCAGACAATTTTTTACATGCTTGGATTGTGTTCTACCAATCAAATTCCATTTTGCCATATTAGACTTTGCTCCATCACGTGTCATTTCCTTAACAACCTGCATTTTATCACGTATTCTAATCGCATTACTCAACACCACTGAAAAAAATTCACATGAAATTTTATGTTACTGATAGTGAGTTTTCCATGCATTCTTTTGCGTTTGACTTTTTCTATGAATAAAATTCGCTTTCAGCTACCTTGGAATTAACCCAATTGCGTGTTAATTCCTTCTAAACAACCTGCATCTTATCACGTATTTCACACACAGAGGGTAAAGTCCAGATAGGCAACAACCAATCAAGGAGCCCTCTTTGAATATATTTCTCTTGCTCGGTGTATTTTCCCTTATACGAGACCGCAATATATCTTTGTTGAGGGTCTATTGGACATACAGCAGTTCCAGTCTGCTTTTCGCAGTAAAACTACGTGGAATTATATTTTTGAGGCGACTAACTATAGACGAATAATTTTGATTTTCTTTAGTTAGAGGAACGGCAGTAAGTGTAGGCTCTTTCGCAACCGTTATTTGGTCTCGTCACGCAATGGCTCTCTCTCCAACAGCGAATAGAGGGCGTTGTGTAACGAGGCCAACCAACGGCTGCGAAGGAGACTACAGTAAGCGGGGCACCGGTGCATTTCATTTTTGCTCAAAAGTATTTGGACAATTTCCCAAAAAATTCCTGCGTAAGTTTATAAAAATTGCTTTTTCTCTTTCTCTTGAAGTGAAGTAATGCGATATTTTCGTTCTTTTGAAAGTTATGAAAACATTGGGAACACGAAGAGTCCCATCTCGACCTACCCAGCTAAAAAAAATTGCTCTTGCATGCTACGCATCCGACGTGATGCAGACGCGGATTACCGAGAATGTGATTTAAAGCGGGCAAAGTATGAATGGTTCATTACCAAGCTTGCCGCAGCCCAACTGCAATTGCCTACTTCACCCTCTGAAACATCACATTTCGGTGTAAGCTAAAAACCCACATTTCTTCGGCAGTTGGCGAGTCAACATATACCCTATCCTCACTGGTAAGCATACAATTTCTCGACAGCAACCGCAGCAATGTGTCAAGTTCGGGGCAAATTATTCAATATCAGAACCTTAATTCCTATGAATTGGGATTCCAACGCAACCACAAACTTTCCTGCGATAATGTAAAGATTATGAGGAGAAATTTGATCCTGATCGTATTTGGGGCGTAAGGAGTCAACAAAACGCACACATGTGATCTGAACATCATATACTTCCGTGCTACTGCATCATTTACAGTGTAGTTAAATATTTAAAATATACAATTTTATAAGTTAGGAGATGATACTTTGAACTTTGCGCAATTTCATTTAAAAGCCTCGTCTGCAAAATTTTTACACAAATACAGCATTTCATTAAAATAAAGGTATCTATTAACTAGCCCATCAACCGTATTACTAACATCACTACGTCAAAAAAATTCTAATTTTCGCACACAGTGCGTGCTTATGATTGGAGACTATTCATTTCTGAAGACAAGTTAAAAGAAGTGGTCAATGCACAGCATTACTTCAACACGCAGTGCTTCAAAGTCACATATACACTATAAAATAACGTGAAATGATAACAAAATCTTGAAAAATTACTCACGAATTCAAATACACAGATCAGCGATACACACATATAAAACTCACAACATGCGATATCGCACCCGCTTGCGAAGGCATGTTTCTTTTAATTTGTTGACGATTCAGTGAGACTAGTATGGACATTCAAAGTGAATTTAAACATCCGAAGTTTCCTCCTTGTCATATGCGGCTAAAGCGAGATAGGTGGTTTTCTGGTGTCGACAGACAAATGAATATCTAAATACAAATGAATATCTGAACTTGACAGGAAGAAGAGAACACAACAGTAGTATGTTCTTGATGAAAATAAGTCGAAACTAAACAAAGATTGAACTTTTGCCAAAATTTCTTTAACATTCATTGTCTGCGACAAAACGTTATTTGGTTCATCGGTCGTCCAGCAATGAATTTCCTCTCTTTCCTTCTTTAGGTGCCTTTAATTAAGACTTGCAAAAAATCTGAGAGCAAGCAAGCTTGACACCTTCCACAATCATATAGAGCCCATTTTTCCGATATATATTTTTCATTTCTTTATAAAATTTTGCAAATGCTTCACGCCCCGAGAAAAGCGCTGCAGCAGGCAAATTCATACTATGTTACATTGTACTTCATTTCGAGATAATTTGATAATTTTTTCCATTTCAGTCAATTGCGCCGATATTGATAGAATCATAAAGCAACAGAAACGCTACAAATATCCTCCAGTATAAACACCCTGCTTTCCTATCTTGAGGAATGTGTATGTATATCTACGCACGCTCTAAAATAAATTAAGTCTTTAGCGTGAGATACAACAGCTGGATTTTTCTTCTGTGCCTTAAGCTTCAAGGTGAGCATCCTCTTATTTGAACTGGCCACTTTTCTCTCTCCCTGAGAGTAACATTATCAAACACATTGAGTTGTGTGACCATCCCTGACGTACGTCGCGCGAAATTGTGCGTGACAGATATTACAACTTGCACCATGTCTTCACAAAGAGCTCGGAGCTTGGAGAGAAGGCGGTTTTTTCTTGCGTCATTTAGTATCCGGCTACTGCAGTGAAAAATGGCTGGTACGCACCAAATGGACTGATAGGGGTCTCGGGTGGGGCCCCAAAGAAACCGATCTCTGAGTTCATCTTTCCGGCACGATTTAAGGAACAGGGTTCGGATGCACTTCGGTGGATCTTCGGCATAGATCGTATAAGGGACTCTAAAGATCCAAGAACCTGCAAAGGATTGTTTGAAAACTTTATTAGCAAAGCATTGGATCTGCCAACAACTCAGATTATCAACTTAACAATCATACCTACAGCAACAGTTTGAAAAGAAAAACAGCAAAAAAAGAAAACCGATTATACAAAACCAATGTGTAACGGGTACTTGCAGTAAAGAGAAAGACATGGCTTAAAAAAACTATTTAACAGATGGTAGTTGCCGCTAGAAAAAAACGAACTTAGTAAGTCTGGTAAACAAATGTTGGCTTTAACACTGAGCACAAATACTTAAAAAAATCTATACTATACTTTAAAAATAAAACCAGTATGTATGTAGGTAACAAAAGGGTCCGTTGTGTTTCTGACGAAATCAATATCAGAGACGCACCTGAGCTGCGATCATTGTTTTGTGTTCTTAAGAAAACCACTTAACTTAAAAGGTGGCCGTAACCACTAAAGAGTGTGTGCGGGTATCCGCGGGTTATACCCTATCATCACTCATACAAGTTCACTGACCTGAGTAAAGAGTGGTCGTTCATCTCTGTTGAACTTGATACAATCTGATAGAAGTTTTTTGAAACTCTTTGGTACGTCTGATCGAAGTTTATTTA